TAAGTTAAACTATATACATTTATGAAAGTTCTTATGAAGTTTCAAACAGTTTCATCCACTAGTTTTATTGTTGGAATGAAAAATAGCAAGACTTGCATTGGCTACTCAGAAAGATAGAAGTCGGTGGTCATCGGTTTAAACTAAACAGTCTTGTATATCCAACAATTTCTTAAACAAAAATGGATTGTTAATGAGCAAATATATTTTAATGAACTATCAAAAATTATTGGTACATGTAATATAAATTAAATACACGTGGAACTCAGACTAATAACATGATTATATCACACATGCCCTTTACTAAATTGTGAACTCTGCATGTTGTCCCTATTTTATTTACAATTGGATGCATATTAACTGACATTCAGTTCTTGTGTAAATATTACAAACTGATAGATAAGTCCACATATCACATAGCATGTCCTTAGAAAACAAAACTTATTTTTGTTCATGTACATCAAAAGGATCAAGAGAAATGGATACCACATGAATGTGAACTGTCTTCATCATAAGAAAAAAATAAGATACAATACTTAGTTTCCTTAGAATTATGGAAATTTGTTTCAAATATTGTATATATATATATATATGTGTGTGTGTGTGTGTGTGTGTGAACTAAAAATAATTTATAGCAAAAATAATAATAAAACATCACAACCATAACCATTTTACCCTGCCACAAAGAATCCAGGTTAGAGTAAAGGTCAACTATTTGTCAATGGGGATGAGATAGTTACAAAAAAACAACAAAAAAGAAGTTATTCATACTTAAAAGTCTTGAAATTTTGTTTGTTGTAAAGTGCACTAAGTTTTTTAGAATTGGTACCCTAGAAGCAGTGTCTGTGTATTACTTCTAGAGCTTTAGTTTGCCATCTTATATCATTATCAACCTTGAGTGTATAAGCATGCTTTTCCAGGTCTGTACAACTCTTGAAACTACTTGGTCTATCATTGATAATGCCATGATTATGCACTGTTGCTCACCAACACAGTTTTTTGCTGCAATAAGTTTCACCGAAGGGTATTAAAGGCAGTCTTGACTATACAGGCTCCCACTACACATGGACTTCATATTCCAAAATTACCTTTAAGCAGTCCAAAAGCACTAAAGTCCATTATAAATATACCCAATTTTATTTCAGTGATGTATTTGTTCACAGACTTCTCTTTCATAACAGTAACCTTCATTTTGCAGATGAGGACATTGTTTTGGATTGGCTTCATGTGTGATTTTCGAGTCAGTTGCTGTCCTAAATACTCTGCTGTGTTTTTTTCTTCAGTCATAGAGAACCGTGAATGCTTGCTACTTTAAAAGGTGTCATTTGGCTCTGCAGCCTTTAACAATCCTGCAATAGGAACATCTTTCTTCTGAAAGACTGTGACATATTCCTTTAAACACAGGGCTACTCTGTGGTGGTGGTGTTGAACAACAAATGTGTAATGCCATGAACCCATAGCTTACATCTGTAGCAATATGCCCTTACATTAGCATATGCAAATTGTTATAAACTATTATTAATTCTTTGCTACCTGTAGTAGGTAGAGCACAGATAGCCCATTGTGTAACTTTGTGCTTAACAAAAACCAAACCAATTAACCCTTTGTAATTAAGACTATTAAAGGCTTACCTTATTCATAAATTCTTAAGTTGTAACCTTAATTTATGCCCAGAAAGTTATAGTATAATTTGGAATAACATGTAGTCATAATTAACGGATAATTTTATATACATTGAAGGAATTATAGTGTCTCATAAAGTTAAATACAGAGTTATGGATATTTTTTAACCAACAATAAATAAACTGAAATGTTTTCCTACCATTTACTTCATGTGGATTCACATATTGAGCAATTTTATGTTTTTGACTGTTACAATGCTCAGTTTAAAGAACTGACCCAAAAATATGTGAAATTGCTTATTTTCTATGTAAAATACATAGTGGACCCCAACAATAATTAGTAGAATTAATTGCAGTATTGATGGTTGATGATATCACAATAGTTCAGAAAAATGTTTCGAAAGTCACTACAGTCCACATATGGATGACATTGGTAATTTAGTATTTCTCCTATAAGAAAAGGAAGAGAGCGGTAAGAAATACATGGCTGTATCCATAAATCATAAGGCCTACTTTTAATTTGGTTTTGCTATTCACCAAAAATGAATATGAAAGATAGAACAATTCTAACTCATCAACTTTTGGATATAATACACCAAAAATACTATAAAATATCAAGGTGTTTTGACAATAAAAACAGTATATTTGAATATCAAAGAGCTGTTATCTTATGGTTTAATACAGCAGATTGGAAGCATCGGTATGCAGGACTAATGGCAATAGCAGCTGTGGGGGAGGGTTGTCATCGCCACATGGAGGCATCTTTACCAGAGATAGTTGATGGCATTCTTCCATATCTTCAGGATCCGGTAGGCTCATTATTTTGTTGGATACAACATAGCTAGTCTATAGTCAATGGGTCTGTAGATTGATTCTAACACTAGCTATTTTCTGTGTTAAATAAAATGACAAATTTTGTAAAATATTATAAAATGGGTTTTTATTATGACTTTTCTCTAAATTAATTTGTACATTAAAACTATTAGACTCTACATTTCTTTCTGAAATAAAGAAAAACCACTAATTTTTGTCATTTGATTTTTACATGTGCTTTAAGCTAAAAATATTTTTATCATACGTTTGTTTGTAAACAAGTGTAGAACACTCAAGGGTGTATTACAGTACAATAATGTTTCTTAATGTGATTTGATTGAATATTGATACTTGTTTAAAAACAGTAATTTGATTAAATGTATAATAAAACCAAGTTTAATGATTTTTTATATATTGAACTCTCTTCTTTGATTTTCAGTATTTATAATATTAACATTTTATTCCTAACTCTAG